TGGCCCCTGACTGATTTTTTTATGTCAGCAGCCCCCTCAACCCAAAAAAGCTTCCCCACCTCTGTTTTGTGTATTTTATGATCATAAAATACACAAAACAGCTTTAACTTGTCAGCTTTAACTTTAAAAAGCAAAAACTCTTGACTATTTGTGAGTGAGGGTGTTGATTCGACACTGCCGAACCCTTTTTTCATTCCACCCCCCCTGTAGCCCTTTGAAAAAGGGGAAAGAAATGGATGAGGGGAGCCAGTGTTTGAACGAGATTACAAGGGTTGTTCCAAAATCTAGGTCTGTATTCTCTAGTGAAAGGAGATAAAGGAGGGTATTCCCTCTTTGATACATTCCCATTAGGTCCCCTTGAAGTATACAGAATTCTTAAAAGAATAAAGCCACAAGACTGTATCCCTGTATATCAGTATTCTACAGAAATGACCCAAAACTATGTCAGTATCACTAATGCAAGGGGTAATGTTTTGTATGGTTAAGGCAAAATTAGGCTCCTAATCCCTCAGGCCATGTCTACACTAACTAGGAGATTATTTTGAATTTACTAAATTTGACTTCTGGGCACCTGATTTTACAAATTTGAACTTCCGTGTCCTCACTATGGGGAAGAATCAAATGTACTCAGAGGCATGATCTGTTAATGTGGTCATGTTACCTCGAACTCAGAGCCCCAGAAGGAGCTCCGGGGAGCTGCAGAAGGCCTCCTGGAAGCCAATAAATTTGAATTAGCAGCACTGAAGCGTCCACACTAACATTATTTTGGACTTACTAGTTCGGGAATAGCGTTACTCCTCCTGGAAGCAGGAGTACAGAGTTCGAATTCTGAAGCCCCTTATTCCAGAATAACGGGCTTGTTCGTGTGGACGCATCACTTACAAATTCGACCTTGGCCGTACTTTAGCTTTTAAGTCATTTGGAGCTGCTGAGTGTTCAGAACATTGGAAGATCAGGTTACTTACTTACATTCTTAATAATGGATTCAGGAGACTAACTTCAGACTCCTAATTTTAAAAATCTTGGCTTTAATGTATAATGCTACAGTGTTCTTTTGCTAATGGCTGCACTATTGTTAAGGAGAGAGCAAAAGGGCCATACACCTAAGCTAAGGAAAGGCTGGACAGAATGTCTTTGTACAGCAAGTATTTAACGTGTGTGGCATTAAATGCCAAAGGCACAATGGGAGCAGCCAGTATAAATAACTTTTAACAGTTAGACAAGAACTTTGCAACCAGCCGCTGCCAACTTCAAGCAAGCCAGGAGGGATGTTAGACTGCCGCAGCCAGCCTTTTAGAAACAGTGTTAAATCTGGCTGACAGAAAAAGGATTGTGCTTTTCTGAGATTACTGCGGTTTGGTTGTTTTTCAGGGTTGTTTTTTTTGGGTGTTGGTTTTTTACTGTGAAACTGTGAGGTTGCTTTCTGGGTACTTCAGATTAAGTTGGAGGGGCCTGCTAGTCTGTCTGCAGGGAAGTGTTATCACTGAGAGAACTGGGTGGACTCTGCTCCCTTGTGGAGATTTCAGATTGTCCAAGAGAAGTTACTGTAAAGAAGATTGAACTGAGCGAGGACACACAAAGCACAAGGTATTTCACTGAGTTGCTCCCTGCACTGAGACGGCGAGGCAGAACCCAGGTGTGATGTCTGTAAAGAGCCTTCCTAGAGAGTAAATATATTGCCGAGTAACTGGGCAGGTGGCTGGATTCAGCGCTGTATCAAGGAATGCTGTGAGCGAGCGGTGCTGTGGGAAGTTACCACCTTTCAGGGGACATGTCAAATAAAGGCCTGACAAGTACAGATTCTGAGACAGGTGTGCTAACTCTACTGTCCATTTAGCTAGCAATAATCTCTCTGCCTGCAGTCCCCCCTGTATATTCACCTGGGCAGAATATTCGTCTTCACTTGTCCTAAAGGTCACGCGGTGTTACGGTATGCTGCTAAATAGCCACAGTGTTCTGTCTCAGAGGTGTGTGTTTTAGTGACAGACTGATCCCCATCACCTAGGTACTTCACTAAAGTGGTGAGGTTTAATTCACCACGTCATTCATTAACTGTTTGGTTAGCACCCAGCATGTTTTTGCCTCTCATCATGTATCTGTCACCTGTGGGTGAACACTTTCCGCAAAGCGATCATTCTGTAACTGACCGCACAATCCTCTTCCCCGAAAGACATCTGCACAAGGCCTTCAAAAGACAAACCTGGGAACTTAAATCCATAACTTTGCTAGACACTAAAAATCGTAGTTTACGAAAGACACTGGATTTATGACTTATTAGGACAATCTGTCACCCACTAACTCCCGCCCTTGTCTCTTTCACCAACAGAAGTTGGTCCAATAAAAGATATTATCTCATCCACCTTTTCTCTTGATTATCTTTCAGGATTTTAGGGAGTTTGTCACACCAGCACTTTATAGCATTCACAGTGTGCAAGGCCTGATAAATCTCCTTTATGTTTCCTTCAGCAACCACCCTAGATCTTGTGCAGGGACTAACTTTTTCTCAGCTCTGTGAAGTAAATACAACAACAGTGCATTTTTACCAGTGTGGGTTTTTACTACATTAGGAGAAACATTCCAAATGTGCACCAGTTAGATGCTGATCTGTAAATTTGGCCACATGGGGATACATTTTGGAGACACCCTGAAAATAACTAGCGGCTCAGTAGAGGCAGCAATCGGTAGTGACTTTTGCTTTCTTGACATGCTTTTAAAACCATTTTTTTTAAATCTCACAGTGTGTCTATTGCAGTGACAAGGAAGCGCATGCGCTCCTCAGACCTGGCAGCTACTTACTCACCTTTCCCTTGGCAGTCAGATCCTGTTCCTAGACCTTTGTACTCCCACCGGTCTGATTTTCTGCAGAGGGATGAGTCATTCATGGTTGTTAGGTACCAAAAGCCTGGGCAGATGTCTGCTTAGATTCACTACAGCATGGGGACAGACAGCCAGGCATCAGTCACATGCCACAGAGGAAACTGAGGCATGCACAATATTCTTATGAAACACGATGAAGAATTCCCACTTCATCACTCCAGTCCTTTAGGCACTCCTGTGCAATATAAGCAATAGTTTATTTGTAAAAGGGAGGGGGGTTACGTTTTCATCTTATTGAGGCCATCTCTGTTCTGTCTTGCAATGAAACATTTTTCTCCAGCACAAGGGTAAATCAAGAGTAACGATAACTGTATTGATGAAATGGGTGCAAGATAGGTGGAGTTATTGGCTTTGGGACCATGTCAATGGTATAAACAGAGAAATTTGGCTCTCAATATTCACGCTGACTTTTTCCTGAGAAGAATCTGGTTAGATGTATTCAGAGGGAGATCCATTTTGTTCTGCATTGGTCCGTGAGTTTGTGTTGTTTGTTCGTGCACTGAGCAACTGTGAGGACCCACTGTCTCAGTTACTGATACCTTACAAGGTTCCTCAGAGATTTTGACAGAGGGGAATAGCACAGTGTCACCATGGGCAAAGTAGAGTAAGGATTGTTAAAAAAAAAAGTATCAAAGGCAGGATTTGGGGTAAAATGCAGACATAGGTAAGCAGGGAGGAAGGAGGCCTTTCTGTCTAGTTCTGGCCCAATGAAGTTCCCCAATTTGGGGGAAAGTATCGCTGTTTCCCTGGTCTATCTCATCTGCAATGTGAGACTTAAAATTCTTGCCTGACGGGTGGGGGGCTGTTGGGGGAGGAGGGCTGGGAGTGGGGAAGGATACAAAGAAGGCTGGCCTCTCACAGGAATGGAATCCAAGCCATCCGAAATATCTAAACCTCGTGCATCTCAGACTGCAGCCTACTAAACATATGACAAGGGACAATTATGCCCCATTCTGTCTGCGGCTCTCCTCTGGGCTAGGCAGGCGTGAAGGAAAGAGGGAAGAGCATGCTTCTCACATAGATTTTTATGCCGTGTTTGCCTTACATCAGTAGAGTAAGATTGTAAACAAGACCCACATTTGACTATGAAAATTAGGGTAGTTAAGAATACCCAGTGTTTTAAGACATTTCATTTTCTATGCTAAAAAAAGAGAAACATTTATAATGATCAGTGTTGTTTAGAACGGAGTGGGACTAGCCTTTTGTGCATTCCTCTGACTGGGAGAACGTTGAACTATGGATAGACCTTTCTATCTTGCCTTCGCTCAGGGTAGGTCGGACTTGTCTGTGAGTATAAGAGCAGTGGTTTTGCTGTTAGGAGAGTTACAGCAAGCTAGCCTGGAATACACTCTTAAAACAACCAAAACAATGTGCTCTGCAGCACAGCTTCTGCTACTCTTACAGCAAAGGAAGGTGGCCTCGTGGTTAAGGCCAGGAGAGCAGTGGTCAGCTCTTGGCTCCGTCACAGAATTCCAGGGTGGCCTGGGTTAATATTTTAAGGCCTTACCTGTAAAATGGGGATAATGTTTCCTTTCTCGTAGCTTTTGTTTTGACTGTGTACACGTGCCTCTGACTGTGTGTAAGGGCAGTTCTGTATTACTACTAGCATTTGTACTAATGCATTAACCTCTGATGAACTCTGGTTACCTGCTCCAGACCTGACGGTGAGCTCTGTGACGTTCCAAAACCTGTCCCCTTCACCAGAAATTGGCCTACTAAATGATATGACTTCATCCTCTTTGTGTCTCTTGCAATACGTCCTATATTTGATCCCACTGGTGACCTCAGTTCACTGGCAATCTATGTTGCTCTATTACAGAATTGCTCCAAAACATTTAGGGAGGTGGGTTTTAATGACCAAACTCTGCCTAGTATAACAGAGCAGAATTTCATCCTGCAAATCCATTTTGGATGGTGGTGTGTCCTTTCATCTTTCCAATGGCTTTTAGCAGCTGTTTTCCATCAGACAGGACATAGATATTGTCCTTTTTACATGTTAAAAATGAGGCTTTGAAGTAATCCCTCCCACACACACACATATTTCTTGGATATTCCGAGTGTAATCTGTCAGTCTGTCTCAGGCACGCCATGAACTTTGACACTCCCTGGGTTTCTTTTGCCAGGGACACATGCGCAGCCAAGGAGTACGCTGACCTGCCAGCTTCCCACTCACTCAGTACAGAGTGTATCCCCACTGACCTGCAGCTCAGCAAACCAGCATGGGCAGGAGGAGTTAAACCACGGCTGAAGAACAGGTGAGAGAGAAGACGGTTCTGCTCATAAATATCTTCCTATGTGTGAATATTCCAGTTACTTACATGCTTTGGGACAGTTCCTCGGCTGGGTCTGTTGTAAAAAAAACCGCCCTCGTTGGGGAGAAAAGTGAATCAGCAACGGGCACGGACACAGGACTTTCCAGGGAATTGGGGAGGTGCGTTTTTTTGTAAATGTGGTCCACAATTTTATTTAAATATAAAGGAGTTCAAGGTAGTCGCGCAGTTAGTGTGAATAAGGGAGGTTAATGAAAAATGTGAGTGGAAACAGTGGTTGGTAAAATTATTTTGTTATAATACGCTAAACATTTAGGGTATGTCTACAGCTGCTCCCTATCTCGAGATAGGGATGCAAATGTAGTGTACCGAAATGGCTAATGAAGTGCGGGATTTAAATATCCTGCGTTTAATTAGCATAATCGTGTCCGGTTGCCATTTTGAAATTGCATTATTGTGAAATAAAATGCCCTGTCTAGCAGCAGAAAACCATTCTCTCAAAATAACTGTTATTCCTCATATAACGAGTTAGTTTGTAACTTTAAAAACAACAAGCAGTCCTGTGAAGGGTTGCCAGGTGTCCAGTTTTGAACTGGACAGTCCAGCATTTGAGCTTTCTGTTCAGGAAACAAATTGAGAAAATAGAAATGAGAAAATAGAAATGTCCGGTATTTTCTAAACAAGATGTAACGTAGATTGTGATGTAATGTCGAGTGTGCCCGGTATTTTTGTGGAAACCATCTGGCAACCCTAGACTCCTGTGGTACTTTAGAGATTAACAAAAATATGTATATTCTTCTGTTGCTGTCATGTATATATCTTGGATTCTGCTATTTCCACTCCAACTCATCTGAAGAAGTGGATTTTATCCACAAAAGCTCATGATGTCATATATTTTTGTTACACTCGAAGGTGCCACTGGACTGCATATAGGGGCTGTATTTTCAGGTTTGCTAGGCACTGCAAGCCAGTGGAGAAGACAAGTGGAGAATTACCGCCGTGCCAGGTAACTCTTGGTTGGTGTAAATCTGGTGGAGGCACATCTCCCATCCCCATAGGAAAAGGAAGGATGGAGCAGTGCAGGGGTAGGGACAGAAGGGATCATGGCAGACCTGAGCTTGTTTTTGCCTGCCCCTTCATTGATGCAAGTCTCCTAAGGGACCTTAGGCAGGTCTCATAAGTTAGGTTGGGCCTGGCAGTTTGAACTGCACCAGGGCTGAATCCAGTTGCTGCAACATGCTCTCCACACTGACTAAGCCATTAAGTCATAGGGCCTGGAGACTGCTCTCAAAAGTTCAGGGGCAAATCAGGAAAACACAGTTGAAATCAGAGGTCAGATCCTCTGTTAGTGTTGATCGATTTATCTATGATCTGCCCAGGCTAAGGGTCTGGTTTGGACTATCTGTGGTATGTAAATGCATACATAGTACATATACAAGTATAGAAGCAAAGTAGACATGGGGACAGCAAGGCCTTGATGTGTGTCCCTCCATTGAATTCAGCAGAATTGCTTTGGATGTGATCTGGGGAAATGGGAGGAAAATCAGACATAACAGCACAAAAAGGATGGAGTTCAGATATCCCGTCTGAAATAGTTATCCAAACCAGGATCACGTTCCTGATGTCTGCTAATTACATTGCAAATCCCCTTTGCTCTCTGCAATTATTCACTGTCCCCATTACAGTTGGATAATCAGGCTTATCGTGTGACATATTTCCTGCCACTGGCCGGCCCGGTACCGCACCATGTCGGAAACGAGCGAGAGTGGGAAAGCACATTCCATCCATTGGTTAGAAGTTTCTCCTGATGCTGTTGCTGTGTGTTTTCTAGCCCAAGCACTTAAGCACTTTGGTCTTTCCTGTTCTCTTGCCGTTTCTCAACTAATCGTGTCTTGACTGAAGAAGAGCCAGAAAAAATATTTACATTAAACCTGCTGGGCCAGCATCGCTCAACGACTTCAAGAGAACTCTGCTGATATATGCCAACCGGGGGTCTGGCTGAGGGTATTTTGTTTTGATATCACTTCAAGAGCTCATAATGGCCATGCCTGGGGAGACAGAAATAGCTGGAGTTCTTCACCAAGACACATGCTAAAAAGTAGAAAAGCCATTCAGTATAATCAGGCACCTTTTCCATAGCTCTCTGTTCTTCCTCTTTTCCAGTAAAGGAAAGTACTGTGAAATTGTAGCAAGAACATGAGACTAGGGGAGAGGTTGTACTTCAGACTCCTCCAGACTTCCAGTCCAGCCTCCCTGTTCTCTAGATATCACCAGGCAAGAACAGTTCATTTGCCCTGACTTTTACTTGCCTAAGCCACGGCCACAGGGGAACAGCATGAATGCTCTGGCAATGGAACAACACCAGTATAGTTTCCCTTCAAAATTTAGGATTTGGTATCCCCTTTCATTTACTTTATAAAGGGGATTAAATAAATATGACAAATTTT